GGCTCACCCCGCACCCTTCCCGCAGCCGATGACGGCGGCTTTGAGAGCGGCGCCTACAACAACTCTGCCATCCGGACACCCAACCTGGACGCGCTGGCCCGGCGCGGGTTGGTTTTCCAGAACGCCTTCACCTCCGTGAGCAGCTGCTCACCCAGCCGGGCCAGCATCCTGACCGGCTTACCGCAGGTAGGGCCAGCTGTGCCCGCTCCGGGCTGGGCACATCCCGGGAACATCCCGGGAACATCACGGGCACATCACGGGGACATCACGGGCACATCCCGGACACATCCCGGGAACATCATGGGAACATCATGGGAACATCCCGGACACATCCCGGGAACATCATGGGAACATCCCGGACACATCACGGACACATCCCGGGCACATCACGGGCACATCACGGGAACATCACGGGAACATCACGGGCACATCCCGGGAACATCACGGGCTCATCCCGGGAACATCACGGGCTCATCCCGGGAACATCACGGGCACATCCCGGGAACATCACGGGCTCATCCCGGGAACATCACGGGCACATCCCGGGAACATCACGGGAACATCCCGGACACATCACGGACACATCCCGGGAACATCACGGGCACATCCCGGGAACATCCCGGGAACATCACGGGCACATCCCGGGAACGTCACGGGCACATCACGGACACATCACGGACACATCCTGGGAACATCATGGGAACATCCCGGGCACATCACGGACACATCCCGGGCACATCATGGGCACACACGGGCATGGCTGGACGCGTGCTGGGGCCGGGCTGGTTCAGCGCTGTGCCCCTCATCTGCAGCACCAGAACGGCATGTACGGGCTGCACCAGGACGTGCATCACTTCAACTCCTTCGACGGCGTGAGGAGCCTGCCCCTGCTGCTGAGCCAGGCGGGCGTGAGGACAGGTGGGGACCGGGACAGGGGAACGGGACAGGGAAACGGGACAGGGGAATGGGACAGGGGAACGGGACAGGGGAACGGGACAGGGGAATGGGACAGGGAAATGGGACAGGGGAATGGGACAGGGGAACGGGACAGGGAAACAGGACAGGGGAATGGGACAGGGGAATGGGACAGGGGAACGGGACAGGGAAACAGGACAGGGGAATGGGACAGGGGAACGGGACAGGGGAATGGGACAGAGGGGAACGGGACAGGGGAATGGGACAGGGAAACGGGACAGGGGAACGGGACAGGGGAACGGGACAGGGGAATGGGATAGGGGAACGGGACAGGGGAATGGGATAGGGGAACGGGATAGGGGAACGGGACAGGGAAATGGGATAGGGGAGCGGGACAGGGGAAATGGGACAGGGAAACGGGACAGGGGGGAAATGGGACAGGGAAATGGGATAGGGGAAACGGGACAGGGAAACGGGACAGGGAAACGGGACAGGGGAACGGGACAGGGGAACGGGACAGGTGGGGAGCCAAAGGCAAGTGATGCAGGCAGGAAAACCCCTCCAAACCCCATCGGGTGACCAAAGTGCCCATGAGCCAGGGAGCACCGTCCGGAGCCGTGGCTGTCCCTGCAGGGAGGGGACAGCAGCAGCCCCATTCCCTGCTCTCACTGCTCYGGGCACAGCAGCTCTGTGTTCTCCAGGGATCATTGGGAAGAAGCACGTGGGGCCGCAGGCTGTGTACCCCTTTGACTTTGCCTACACGGAGGAGAACAGCTCGGTGCTGCAGGTCGGGAGGAACATCACCCGGATAAAGATGCTCGTCCGGCAGTTCCTGCAGAGCCAGGAYGAGAGGTGAGATGGTGCCAGGAATGGCTGTGAGGGGCACGGGAGAGGGGACAATCTGGCCCCACTGGAGATGTGTCTCCCTGTCCCAGCTGGTCACAAATAGGAAGGGACCCCTCGTCTCTGGGTTCCCCCATATCCAGAACCCAGATGAGTCCTGGCACAGCACAGGGAGGTCTCTGGGCACTCCTTTGCTCTATCCCCCCTGTCCTTCCCTAGGCCCTTCTTCCTCTATGTCGCCTTCCATGACCCCCACCGCTGTGGGCACTCCCAGCCCCAATAYGGGGCCTTTTGTGAGAAATTTGGCAATGGAGAGAGCGGCATGGGCCGGATCCCCGACTGGAAGCCACAGATTTACCGCCCGGAGCAAGTGCAGGTGGGAGCCTGTGGGTCGATGTGGGGCTGTTTGGGGCCGTTTGGGGCTGTGTGGGGTTGTTTGGGGCTGTCTGGGGCCGTTTGGGGCTGCATGGGGTGGCAGCCTGATGGAGCCAAGGCTGGCCCCCACCCCATTGTCACAGCCAGAGCCACAATGGCCCGTGGCAGCCGTGTGCCCCTGTCTGTGTGGSTTTAGGTGCCCCCCTTTGTCCCTGACACGCTGGCTGCCCGGGCAGACCTGGCTGCGCAGTACACGACCATCGGCCGCATGGACCAAGGTGGGCTCAGGGGTCACCCAGGGGTGGGTGGGCACTGCAGACCCTCCATCCCCGCTCAGCTCTGCCCCTTTGTGCACAGGGATCGGGCTGGTCCTGCAGGAGCTGCGCCACGCTGGTTTCCTCAACAGCACCCTGGTGATGTACAGCTCTGACAATGGCATCCCCTTCCCCGGGGGCAGGACCAACCTGTACCGCTCAGGCACGGCAGAACCGCTGCTCCTGTCCTCCCCTGAGCACCGCCAGCGCTGGGGACAGGTCAGCCAGGCCTTTGCCACGCTGCTGGGTAAGAGCTGGGCAAGGGAGGGATGGAAGGAGGGAGCACAGGGGATGGGGCTGCTCAATGCTCTCCCTACACCAACACCCAGATCCGTCCTGGGGGCAGCCACAGCCCTCAGCACAGAGGAGGGAGAGGAGTGAGGACAGAACAGGACCCTCTGCAGAGACACTCTATGGGGCTGAGTCCCTCCCACAGTGTCCCCTCTCACCCTTCTTTTCCCCTTCAGACCTGACTCCCACCATTCTGGACTGGTTCTCCATCCCCTACCCTGCCTACAGCATCTTTGGCACGAGGCACGTGCAGCTCACAGGGAAATCTCTCCTGCCTGCACTGGAGTCAGAACAGCCCTGGGCCACCGCCTTCAGCAGCCAGAGCCACCACGAGGTGACCATGTACTACCCCATGCGAGCCATCCAGCACGGCCCCTTCCGCCTCATCCACAACCTCAACTACAAGATGCCCTTCCCCATCGACCAGGACTTCTACGTCTCACCCACCTTCCAGGACCTGCTGAAGCGCACCAGGGCGGGGCAGCCCACGCACTGGAACAGGACCCTGCACCAGTATTACTACCGGGAGCGCTGGGAGCTCTTTGACTGCAGCCGTGACSCCAGCGAGAGCCAGAACCTGGCCCCCGACCCCCGCTACTCCCACATCCTCCAGCAGCTCCGTGCTCAGCTCCTGCAGTGGCAGTGGGACACGGGGGACCCCTGGGTGTGCGCCCCTGATGCTGTTCTGGAGCAGAAACTGAGCCCGCAGTGCCAGCCGCTGCACAACGAGCTGTGAGTGCCACCCGTGCCCTGGCACCGTCAGSGTGTGCCCCACTGGCACCAGGGGTCAGCCGGGGTCACTGATGGGCTGGTCCCAAACCCCCGGTGACACCACAGGGCACTGCTGGGTCCCAGAGGGATGCTGGTGCCTTGACACTCAGCCAGAGGGGCCGAGGGGCCAAGCTGCCCCCCAATAAAGCCTCTGGAGGTTAAGGCTGAGTTTATCACCAAGCACGGCCCTGCAGCAGCCCCCAGCTCAGGACCAGCAGGACAAGGGAAGGGGCTCTGTGGGAACAGCTGTGGGGTCCCCCAATGCTCTGGGAAATGGGGTGAAGCCTTCAAGGAGCACAGGGGGTCCCACTGGAGACCTGCAGGCAGGGACAGAGCCAGGGTGTCCCAGCTGGGGGTGAGGGGCTGAGCACATTCAGGACCAGGGGAGGGGACAAGGACAYGGCCTGGGGCTGCTCCCAGCAAACAGAAGCTTTATTCACCATCCCAGTCCCTCACCCCCTGCAGATCCCCCTCCCCAAAACCACAGCCAGCAGATTCCCTGCAGTCTCTGCCCCCGGTTCCAGCCCCCCACAGTAACAGGTTTGCTGTCTCACAAGGCACTTGGGACGTTTTTCCCTGATTTGATGATGATGATGATGAGATTCTCCTTCTCCCTGGGGTCCATGTGAGCTCCCCCTCCCTGTGCCWGTCCAGAGCACGTCCCTCCATTGCCCTTCAGCAGACAGAGGGAAGCCAAGGCCCAGGAGAGCAGGAAGAGCAATGGTAGCTCTGGAGAGCAGGAATGGGACGGATTCCTTGGATTCAGGGGAGCAGTGTGGCCTCTCCCTGTGCCCCGTGTTGGCTCAGGACCAAGAGATGACAAACTGCTCCCACATGGGCAGTGACACGGGCACTCTGAGCACCTGAGGGGGGAAGGAAGGCCAGAGGCAGCCAGGATGGAGCCCTGGTGTCAGAGCCAAGGGGGTCCTGCCCTTGCAGACCCAGAGCCTGGCACAGCCCTGGTCCCACAGATCCCCCAGCAAGGATGCCCATGGCTTGGGCTATGCCATCACTGGGGCCACCACCCCCTCCCAGGGTGGGGACAAGCACTCACCTGGGTGTCACTGCGGTAGGAGAAGTCTCCCACGATGGCACCGTTGGCCAGGACTCGCCGGGGAGGGCTGGTGACACCCAGCACGGTCACAGCCTCCAGCAGGACCCCGTCCAGGTGGGGACTGGCCCGCAGCAGCTGGCTGAGCACAGCACCCTGGGGACAGCAGGGATGTCACCGTGTGCTCCCGGGTCTCTGCCACCCCACGGGCACCCAGGGCTGCCCCTCTGCCAGGCACAGAGCACACACACTGTGCCCCAGGGCCACCAGGACCCCCTGCCCAGGTGCCCCCCACCAGCAGCTCCCTGTGCTCACGTTGGAGGCCAGGAAGAGGATCTCGGTRTAGTCCCCCCTCTCAAAGCTCTGCCAGCTCTCCCCATCGTCCCAGAACAGGTCTCCCCTGGCGAARCCGTCCGGGGTCAGCGCCACCACCAAGGCCATGCCCTTCCCACGGGACTGGACAGTGTTGAAGGCGGGTTCCTGGGCACAGGGCGGGCACAGCTCAGGGCACTGAGCCATGCCAGCCTGGCCAGGCCGGTCACTGAGGGGACACAGGGGCAGAGGGCACTCACCTGCAGGGGCAGGATGTGCCCTGCACGGAYGTGGACATTGATGGTGTCCAGGGGCGCGGGCAGCAGCACCCACTGCCCTTTGCTGTGGATGGTGGAGTCCTGCACGGGGACAAAGGAGGAGCAGGGATGGGGTACAGCATGCCAGAGGGGCCCAGCCCAGGGCAGAGCCCTCACCCTGACATGGCCATGGAAAAAGACAGGTGAGGCAGGCACCCACAGCATCCCCGGGGCTGGGGGGATGCAGGGATGTGTGTGGGGTGCCACAGCAAAGCCCTGGGTGACAGGRCAGGAGCACCCACCCCTGCCAGGCTGTACCACGTCCCCGCTGGGAAGTAACCGCTGACTTTGGTCTGTCCTGGCTCCAGCACCGGGGTGACCAGCAGCCCCCCGCCCCACAGCAGCTGGCGGTCCACARTCCACGTGTTGGGGTCTGTGGGGAACCTGGGGAAGGAGGGAGGGCAGTGCCAGGAGAGCCTGCAGCCACCTCCTGTGGGGCTGGGACAGTGYCCTGGCGGGGCTGGCACTCACTCGAGGAACAGGGGCCGTGCCACAGTGTCACCCGCGCTGTGAGCCCGGTGGAACAGCGTGTACAGGAAGGGCAGCAGGGCATAGCGCAGGCGCAGGGCATTCCTCATGGCAGTCTGGGCTGGAGGGCTGAAGGAATACGGCTCCTGTGGCTGTGGGGACAGGACAGGCCTGAGGGGCTGCTCAGAGCACCGGGGAGGATGGAGGGATGGGCACAGCACCTGAGCTGCAGCAGCCCCTGCCCCTGCAGTGCCCGGCTCCGGCGCTCACCCGCGTGCCGTGGTCGTTGTGGTTGCGCATGAAGGGGTAGAAGGCGCCCAGCTGGGTCCAGCGCACGCACAGCTCCTCGCTGGTGTCMCCCAGGAAGCCGCAGATGTCGGCACCCACCAGCGGCACCCCGAACAGGTTGAAGAGCAGCACCTCTGCRGAGGGCACAGAGGGCATCGGGGCTCTGCAGCACCAGGGATGGAGCCTGGGGAGGATCCCCAGCTATGGGGGCGAGGGGAAGCGGGGGATGCAGCCCCAGTGCCCCACAGCCCACCTGGTATGGAGTAGTAGAGCTGCTCCCAGTCGCTGCCCACGTCCCCTGTCCAGTGCCCGGCGTAGCGGCCGTGCCCAGCGAAGGTGGAGCGGGAGATGATGAAGGGGCGCTTGCCCCGGACCCTCAGCAGAGCACTGGGGGTGGGATGGGTCTGCTCAGCACCCCCTGGGCAGGAAGGGGCTCAGGGCTCCCACAGGGCCCTGTGTTACACACCAAACCCTCGCCCAGCACCCAATGCCCACCCATGCCAGGTCTGTCCCGGCTCTGTATCCCCCAGGACTGCAGGAGCTGTGCAGAGCCCCCACCCACACCAGGTCTGTCCCAGATCTGTATCCCCCAGGACTGCAGGAGCCCCTGCCCACACCGGGTCTGTCCTGGCTCTCTATCCCCCAGGACTGCAGGAGCTGTGCAGGAGCTGTGCAGGAGCCCCCACCCACACCGGGTCTGTCCTGGCTCTGTGTCCCCCAGGACTGCAGGAGCTGTGCAGAGCCCCACGCTCACTTGTGGGAGGCGATGGCCTCGCTGAGCCCGTACAGGCTGTGCAGGTTGTAGTGGGAGGACAGGTACTGCTGGCTGGAGGCACAGATGGTCCCGGCTTGCAGGCGCCCCCCAAACACACCTGCACGGGAGAGGAGGGGCTCAGGGCATCCCCCGGGCTCCTCCTGGCATCCCCAGAGCCCTGGGCAGGGCTGGAACCCCTCCTGTACCTGGCACGTACGGGGGACGCTCCAGGTTGTTGTTGGGGCAGCCATCCTGGGAGCCCTCCACAAAGTTGGATGGCTCGTTCATGTCCTGGGAGGGAAGGGGAAGGAAAGGAAAGGAGGGGATGGTTTCACTGCTCCCCCAGGGCTGGGGCAGGAGCCAGGGAGCCACGGCCAGAGCTGGGACAGGGCCACTCACAAGCCACATGCCATCGAAGGGCACTTGGTCATGGAAGTCCTTCACCATGTCATGCCACCACTCGTGTGTCTCCGGGTTGGTGAAGTCCGGGAAGGCCGTGGGGCCTGGCCAGACCTGTGGGAGGGGGGCAGCAATGGGCAGAGCCCCCCAACCCCACACAGCAGCGGGCTGGGGCGGCTCCCCAAACGCACCTTCCCGATCAGRGGCTGCCCCGTGGCGTTTCGGATGAACACCCCTCGCCTCAGRCCCTCGTCATAGGGCTTGTAGGTGCCGGGGGGCCCCGAGCTGCTGATCCCAGCATCCTGAAAGGCACAAACCCGGGCTTAACCAGCAGCAGGAGAGAGCAGGATGGAGCCATGCCTCCATCACCACCCTGGGGACAGCCGAGGTGCCAGCCCAGCCTGTGCCAGCCCAGCCTGTGCCAGCCCAGCCTGTGCCAGCCCAGCCCAGCCGTGGAACTCACCACGATCATGATGTACCTCAGCCCACGGCTGTGGAAGTCCTGCACCATCTCTGGGTAGTCCTTAAAGCTTTGCTTGTTGAAGGTGAAATCCCTCTTGGCATCGGCGTAGTCCAGGTCATTCCACTGCACATCCTGCAGACGGAGGCAGCGGTGCTGGGGAGAGCAGGGACCCTGCACGCTGCCAAGGGACCCCACCCCATCCCATCCCACCCCACAAGGGTTTCCATCAGCCCCTCGAGGGTTTCCATCAGCCCCACGAGGGTTTTCATCAGCCCCACGAGGGTTTCCATCTGCCCCATGAGGGTTTCCATCAGCCCCATTAGGGTTTCCATCAGCCCCACGAGGGTTTCCATCAGCCCCATTAGGGTTTCCATCAGCCCCACGAGGGTTTCCATCAGCCCCAYGAGGGTTTYCATCAGCCCCACRRGGGTTTCCATCWGCCCCACGGGGTCACACCTACCAGGGGGAAGCGGGCTGCCGTCATGTTGGCCACGACCTCTCGGGTGATGGCAGTGGAGGAGTAGCCCCAGCGGCAGAGGTGGAAGCCCAGGCCCCAGTAGGGCGGCATGAAGGGGAATCCTGGGGGTGGGATGGGTTGGTGCTGGTGGGGATGGCCCAGCCCTGTGCTGGCCCACGGCCCTGCTGTGCCACACTGCTCACGGCATCCTGGTAATGCCACCCCGGCAATGCCACCCCAGCAATGCCACCCCAGCAGGGCCACCCCAGCAATGCCACCCCAGCAATGCCACCCCGGCAGTGCCACCCCAGCAATGCCACCCTGGTAATGCCACCCCAGCAATGCCACCCCAGCAATGCCACCCCAGCAATGCCACCCTGTCAATGCCACCCTGGTAATGCCACCCCGGCAATGCCACCCCAGCAATGCCACCCCAGTAATGCCACCCCGGCAGGGTGAACCCAGCAATGCCACCCTGGCAATGCCACCCCAGCAATGCCACCCCAGTAATGCCACCCCAGTAATGCCACCCCGGCAGGGTGAACCCAGCAATGCCACCCTGGCAATGCCACCCCAGCAATGCCACCCCAGCAATGCCACCCCAGCAATGCCACCCTGGCAATGCCAGCCCAGGAGCTCCCCTGGCTCAGCCGTACCGACCACGTCCAGGTACTGCCGCACCACACTCTTGGGGTCGGGGCCCAGGAAGATGTAAAAGTCCAGGATGCCGCCCGTGGTGCGCCARGTCAGGGCCGGGCTGGGCTGCAGGAGCACGTCTGGGGAAGCACAAACGGCAGAAGAAGAAGCTGAGGAGGAGGACAGGGCCAAACCTGTCCCCAGCGCCTCCACGGGACTCACCCATGGCGTTGCTGTTCAGCAGGAAGACACCGTGGGCTGAACCATCGTCCTCCAGCACCAGGTAGAAAGGGTGCGAGCCGTAGAGGTTGACACGGGGCTGGAGCAGAGMGTGGTGTGGTGCCAGTGAGGCTCTGCTGGAGACCCCCACACCCTGTCTGCCCCTCACCCCTGGTCAGGTGCAAGTCCAGGGCTTGTGGCCCCAAATGCTGTCAAAGCAGCAGAGCTCTGCACCGAGCCAGAGCTCTGGAAACAGCTCCAGAGCAGCACAGAGCTCCTGGGGGACAAACCCTGGTGCTGAGACCAGGGCCCAAAGCTGAACCAGCACAGACACATCCMCAGCCCTGGACAGGACACGAGAGGCCGCAGGGCTACCCCATGAGCACAGATGAGTCTGTGTCCCTTTTCCTCAGCCCCGTCCGTACCGCAGGGGCCATGTCCCGATTCCACAGGGTGACCTTGGTCCATGCTGTGTCAAGCACCAGTGGTGTCAGGTGCTCCCCCAGCCCCGAAATGAAACGGGAGGGCAGCGAGGTGGAGATCTGCAGGAACTGGTCAGTGAAGAAGAGGGGTGCGACGGTGGTGTTCAGCCTGCGGGGACAAAGGGACAGTGCAGCCGGCAGGGAGGGAGGCACTGAGCTGGGACCCCAGCGCTGGACAGGGACACCCATGGCCATCACCACGTGAAACAAGAGCAATTGTCCGCAGAGCTTTGGGGTTCCTGTTTCCTTTCCCAGCTACGGAACTGCAGTGGGAGTCAAAGGGTGGCCACCGACAGCCATCGCACTGCTGTCACCGGTGTCCCCGATGAACAGCAGTGTCCCCGCTCCCAGGCTGWGCACTGCGGGGTCCCACCTCCAGAGCGAACGGGAAGCGAGGGGAGCAGGAGGCACTCACAGGACTGTCCCTTGGCGCTGCCGGCACACCACGAGCCCGAAGGGATCCTGGCTGACCTGCAGCCCGTAGAGCGTGGAGGCGGCTCGGCCGCGCACCCGCGGCGTGTCCAGCGGCACCTCATAGCGCTGCCG